GAATAATTTCATCTGTGTTTCACAACCTTAAGAACCACTCCTTATCTCTTTAAATTTTTATTTTTGTTATTAGTTCCAGAAAAATAAAACAAGAAAAAGTAGATATTTTTCTTACATAACCATGCTAGTATAAAGATGTACAAAGTTGGAACTACCCTTCCAAATTTATTTTTAAAAGATTTATTTTTATTTATATATGTATATAAAATGGGGGTATAGACCAGAGGTGTAGGGGCTGAGAGGATTCACCAGAGACAGAGTGGGGAGCAGAACAGGCAGGTGGAAGACAGGAGAGGTCTGCCTTTCCTGTGGGTCATCTCCCTGTCCTGGGATCGAACTCATGCTGCAGTGGCTGTCAATAGCTTGATAGTGCTGAGACTTAACCCATTGAGCCACCAGGGATGCCACTTGCAAATTTAAATTGGCAATCCTGCATCCTACTAGGATGTATCAGGTCAGTGTTTACTGGCGTTCCTCTTTTCCTAAATCCTTCAACTTTTTCCTGTACCTACACTCCCTCATTTGTAGTTAGAGGAAAACAAAGGTTAATTTAGAAATGCCAACTACATACTATTTATTTACCAAAGTCAAACACTGCATGAAACACACTTGTGCAAACAATAGTGGCCTTTTCCTTGTGCAGTATAGGATGTGGTCCATCATTAGGCAATTCAGCTCTGGCACAGGATGAACTATTTATTTGTTAAGTCCAGTACTCTGGGCTGCAAAATCTTGGAGGGGATTTTCTTCTCTTTCACAGGAAACTATTAAATTTACAGGACCTAATGTTTATTTCACAGTCAAACGTGTACTATTGTGTTGATAAATATGTAATGGCACTGAGCTCAGTGGTTAGTGCCTTGTATATTTAATTTAATGATGTTTTATTACTCTAAAATTAGCGTGGTCCACTGAGGAAGGGAAAGAAAAGGAGAAAAATCTTTCCAGCCATAGATGACAGAGAACTCAATTTCAATTTGAAGCAAAGAAAGGAAGAGGAAAAACAACCAAGCAGATATTTTTTGAGGTCCCAGAAGATTATGGTTTAACAAAGTTTCCATTCAACGTAAAAACATCTGGAAAACTATGAAAATTTCAGAATTGTTTAAGCTGAAAGCCCTTTAAAATGCCACTGAGTCTAAATTATTTCGGGAAATGTAGACAGATAACGATGTAAATTCTGATGTTTCAATGACTGCTCTTTTTTATTTAGTGGGAGAAGGGTGGGTAGATAGAAAAACGGATATCAAATGAGAGACAATTTCTGTAATAGAGAAAGTGGGTTTTTGGGTAAATGAACAAAATGAAAGAGAGTGCAATCTCTGAATGAAAAAGGACACTTTGGTTGCATTTCTAAATGAGATTGAACTTAAAAATAAAAGAAATACATCCCACAGTAAAATAAAAACAGATTTTGTTGTAGCAGCTGGTAGCTTTACAGTTCAATACAGTAGTTTTCACATTTTTCATGTACCAGGATTGCTTTTGATGCCAATTTCGGGGAGATAAAAATATAGTTAATGTACTGTCAGTGTTTGAGATAACGCTGTTGTAAATTGCTGACACGTTAAAACATTTAAAAGAACAAAACATTGACACAGCAGTATAGGCAAGAAAACAAACAAAAAATGGTGGCACACATACATAAGGCAGATTAGATAGCTGGCCAGAACGTCAATTTATAAAGGGCACTAAAATACCATTGACATAAATAAAAATAGTTTACCAGTTAACTGCGGTTAAATCTAACTTTGTTAAATTTACAATGATTCGAAGTTGGTCCTACATCTCTCTTGTAGTATATAACACTCTCAGGGGAAAATTTCTTATCACTCTATTCAACAACCCCACATCCCGCTCCTAGTAAGTAGATATCAAACAATTAAAGTTATATAGACTTGAAGAAGCACTAAATCCTAGGTTCCCCAAGGATGTCCATTTCTTCATCTGATAGAATATATACATGTTAAACATGGAATTTTTTTCAGTGTCCAGTACATCATATGCACATGGATTTGAAGATTATTTGCACTAGACTGTCCACTTCTGGGGGACCGTTAGCCCACATATAAGGTATATCTGGATTAGTCAATCGACTTTTAGGGTTAGGATGGGCCTATGGATTCAAACACCCATCTTGGGCTTGTTAAAACTTTCAATTAAGCACTGCACTATGAAGCTATCCACAGCCTCTGTAGCATGAATTCAATCCCTGGCCGGCCAGGGAGCAACCCACATGTCGTGGCAGACCTCTTCTGTCTTGCCCGCTGCTCCCCTCAGCAGAGTGTTTTGCCTCAGCAGAGTCAGTCTGCCCGTTCTATTCTCCACTCTGTCTCTGGTGGATCCTCTCACCACCCTGCATCTCTGGGCTGTACCCCAGCTCTTATATGCAAAATAAATAAATCTATTTAAAAAAAGGGGGGGGAAGCTATCAATGGTCCAATTTGCCATGAGAACTAGTTAAACCCTGGTATTGAACGTCAATGTCTGCATGGTATTTCACTGATATCTTGCAATAAATCACACTTTGCATGGGTTACTTGAGTGAGACTTGACCCTGCCCACTCTAGGTTAATTTCTTTGGTCTTCATATATACAGCCATGCCCTCGCGGTCTGTAATATTAGTCCTATGCTCTTACCTAGTTATTCAGTATATACAATTTAGTTCCCAATTGGATTTTGGTTATAAAATTCCCTCCAGGGGTGTAAGAATGCTTTTCTTTCCTTTACTTGTTCGTCTTTAATGACAATTCAGTTTTCACGTAAATTGGGTTGTCTTTCCTGTGTACCATATGGATTCACATTCCCCTGTATGGGTTTGTGAAATGATTTTTCCCTCTAATCATTAGAAAGCAGATTTAGAAAGAACTAATAATTCAAAATTGTATATCCATTAAAAAGCTGACAATACAAAGGGACATAAGGACAAATGCTCCTTTAGAGCTGGAGATTTTAACATTCTCTCAGGCTAAACTAAGATAATACTCACCCCCCCAAAAAAAAGATAATACCCAGGCAAAAGTACACATATAGAGGAAAATTTATATATTTGAATGTTAACATTGAATTTGAGCAATACCGCAAACCAACTTGAAATATTTGATATTTATAAAACATTCAAGCCCATAACTGTAGAATATATATTGCTTTTAAATTGCACATGGAATATTGACCGGGCTAGGTCATATGTGTCTGCATAAAAAAAATCTTAATACATATCAAAAGATTGAAGCTTTACTAATTGTGTTCTTCTAGCACAGAGAAATTAAATTAGAAATCAATAAACAAGAGAAATCAAAAATAGTCATAAATTAAGCAACCACTTATAAATAGTTCATAGACAATTAAATCATATGATAATGAAATATAATTCTAATATAAAATATCACAATATGTGAGCTATATCTAAAGGCACAGGCAAAGTATAGTGCAAAGATAATACCTAATCAGTTGCCTGCTTTTATAAAAAAAAAATTATTGGAACACAAATTCATCATTCATTCAGATATCATCTATGGATATTTTTGTACTCTTATAACAGAGTTGACTAACAGCATGGAGACTGTATGACTTACATAGTCTTGAATATTTACTATGGATCATTATAGAAAAGGTACACTGTATGCAAAGCAGTACTAGAGGAAAACAGTTTTAAAAGGCTTAAGATTTAAAACAAATTGTCAATGTGTCTACTTGAACAAAGTGCACAAGAAAATTAAAGACAAAATAAGTACCAGGAAGGGAAATTAAGATAGCAGCAGATCAATGAAGTAGGAAAAAATCAAAATACAATCAATAATGCATCCTTTCTTCTTAAAAAGCTAATAAAATTAATAAGCCAGTTAAATATAGTAGCAGTATAAAATATAATAAAATATATCTTGTAAAGTACGCATTTATATAAATTAATATATGCTTATTATTTTTTATATTTATTTTTGCATAGAAAACGCGGGTATAAGCCAGAGGTGGGGGGATTAGTAGATTCACCAGAGACAGAGTGGGGAGCGGAACAGGCAGATTTACTGAAATACACTGCTGAGGGGAGAAGCGAGCTAGACAGGAGAGGTCTGCCGCGCCATATGGGTCACCTCCCTGCCGGGGCATCGAACTCAGGCCATAGTGGTAATAGTGCTGAGACTTAACCCCTAGGCCACAAGGAAGGCCCAATATACTTATTTATAATATGGAAAATGCTATATAAATAAAATATATTTTAATATTCCATAATATCATATAACATGATAATAATATTACATTGAACATATGGTCAAGACATAGAAAAGACATAAATTACTAATACCAGGAATAAAATTATGAAATAGGAAATAAAGTAATATAATAAATAATTTTGATCAATAAATTCTACAATTTAGTAAAGCAGAAATTTTCTTGTAAAATAGAACTTAATAGAAATGACTAAAGATAAAAATCACATTTTGTAGCCTAGTATTTATAAGGAGGTTTAATTCATTATCATAACTATCTTAAAAACTATAGGCACATGTGGTTTCTTTGGTGAATTCTATCAAACATATTACAAACCAAACATAATGTAAAAACCCAGATATCTCTACTTACTGCCTAATATTCCTGGTTAAACATCTCTCAAAGCTCAGACAAAAAACAAGATTAAAGAGAAAAACAGGGAATTTTAAAAGTCATATCTTATGTTGATTTTAATTTTGCAGAAACCCTTCACTTTTAAAGAAAGCGATAAATTATACTACGGGATATATCTTAGCCTGGCCAATGATGCTACAAACTTAGTGGTTTAAGCGTTTTAACAAACTTATTATCTCTCATGATTCTGTGGTTTCAGTGAACTCAACTGGGATAGTTCTTTGGTTTCTGGGATTTGAATATGGCCATATGTTTCTCCTTGCTGTGCGTTTTCAGTGCCGTCTTCTTACTTCATCTCTCTATGTAGTTTCACCACCCAGGTGGCCAAACTTATATGTGATGACTGGGGTGCTAGAGAATATTCTTTTTTTTTCTTTAGGGGAGAGCGCCAACACTGTCCCCCACTAGCACAAATTATGTATCAAGTTTCCCATATTTGGAGTAATTTCAGGGTCAGCACATCCGGAGTGCAATGGGTAAGCCTTGCCCCAGGAAAACCACCTTCATGATCATGGTATCTTAGGGAGAACAATCTTTTTTTTTTTTTTTTCAATATTTTATATCTATTTTTTACATCATTTTTGATTTTTGCACAATGTATGCATTTTCATCTTGGTTACATTCCCCATACAATTCCCACCCCCTCTATTTTGACTCTAACCCCTCTTCCCCCCCCCCATCCAGTGTGTCTCTGGTTTATAGTTGCTTGTTTATATTGATTTTAACTTTATTATAATTAGTCTTTTTCCTGATCCCTTATTTAGGTTTTCTAAATTCCTGCTACGAGTGAGACCATCTGGTATTTTTCTTTTTCTTTCTGGCTTATTTCGCTGAGCATATCCCTTCCAGCTCCATCCATGTTGCTGCAAATTGCATGTGCTTATCTTTTTTGATAGTTGAGTAATATTCCATGGTGTATATGTACCACATCTTCTTGAACCAGTCATCTATTTTGGGGCATTTGGGTTCTTTCCATAGCTTAGCTATTGTAAATAGTGTTGCTATAAACATAGGGTTGCAGGTGCCCTTTTGAATTAATGATTCTGTGTCCTTTGGGTAAATATCTAGGGAGAACATTCTTTATGTGGCTTTAATATTATACACATCTTGTAAGCAGTGGCATACCTTTCCAACAAAGGACTGCCTTATCAGTAGAGCAATAAGTGATGAAAACATTGATTTTGTCAAATTAGAACAAATAATGTTTAATGATTCAATTTTCTAATCTGCAAATAAAGGAGCAATAACAGTGCTTATTTACTAGATTGTGTTTATTTACTAGAGTAATGGTGGAATTAATGGATATAAATCATGTAAAACTCCTAGCATGGTACAAGAGGCTTATATGATATTTAAATTATTACAACATAGTATAGTATTTATATTACTGGAAAATATTCCAAGTTTTTATCTAGCATGATCATCTTTATCCCTGTTCAAATTTTGCTGAAGCTGCATTATAAACTCATGTACAAAGCAATCACAAAGACAGCCTTCTATCAATTCAAAATGAAGAAATCAAAAATCAATGAAATGCTGCTAAATTTAAACTGAGCATTTTCTATTTTTCATGAATGTCTTTTGCATTACAACTCATCAACTAAAAAGCTTCCTATGTCAGTCATAATATTCCTGCTGCTTTTCTATTGTATTATAATCCATAGCTTTCTTAAACCCTAACACAGTTTTATGTAATCCTGTCCTATTTTTATATCATGGACGTATAAGTTAAGATCACCAGTAAATTTCCTGGTCAACTAGTCGGAAAAAAAAAGTTTCAATTTTTTGAAGGAATATTTCATTTTTCCCCCTTTCTTTGGGTCTGTGAACCCAAAAGGTGACACTGTGTAAGAATTCAGTGCCATGTCATGCAAACATCAATTGTACAAATGCTCAGAAAAATGCTTGAATGTATATAAATTTGTGTTGAATAGCTGAGCCAGCTGCTGGGAAGGGCACAAATTTTACTCCTTCCATGGAGATATTTAGGCATTCCTCCCTTGAAGCTGTGCTCTAAGGGAACTACATTGCCAGACAGGTTAAGACTATCTTCAATATGTAGTGATTTTGTGACAGGTCCCATGAGGACAACTGGCTTAGTCCTAGAACTGACACTGTCACTTCCACTGCCATCCATCAATGAAGAAATCACAGGCCTGCCATTATTTAAGAAAATAGGAAATAAGTTTCTTCTCTTTTTAAGGAACTGATAAAAAATTTAGAGCAATCTTTAAAATTAAACTACTTGACTTCTGGTCACAAATTCTTTATAATCCTCCATGAGCAAAGGTCACACAAAACACTCAAACCCCAGAGTCTTACCCCACTATACCATCAGCCTTAGAGACCAAGATCACATCACCCAGCTCAGATTCTAGTGGGGATGAAACTGCTCTGGAACAGATCCTTTCAATCCAAATTGAACTACTAAGTAAGGGAGAAATTACACCTCCATGCCTGAGTCCTATAATAGAGTACCACATGAGGCAGGAAAGGGAAAGTCACTGCAGATTCTCTTACTCAAAAAGGGCAGGAAGTGGAAGGCTCACTGTAGGTAATGGATATATATAAAATACATCCTATTGATTCTGTTCTCTGACTGATAAGGGGAATGACATTTAATTAAGGACCACTTAGAATAGTTTAGCTTTGTGGGTCTAAATTGCCCATGTTTCAAAAATTTCACTGCTTCAAAAATCTCTATCTGCATATGTAGTTATATAGCCTGTAAAATGCTTTCATGTTGGATACCAAATCTCTTTAAAACTTAGAAAATATAAGCAGATTATACACTGTTCATAAAAAAGACCATTTGAATATGGTGGAATCTTTATAAAACCAAAACAGCCAAAATTCCATTGTGTGTCTAGCAAGCTGAACAAACAGAAACAAAACAAAACAAAAAGCACAGTATGTATAAACTGGCATTCAAAAAAAAAATCAAAATAGGATGTAGCTATGGCAATATCATATCCATGCTAAAGTGCATTTGTTGGTTTGGAGAAACATAGTGAAAAGCTTAACCTAATTAGAAAGTAGATCTGTGCATTTTGGTGGGGGAAGGCGCTGAAGGGGATAGAAGGTACAGCTCAAGCTTTGGGGCTTTTGCATTAAACTCCAGCTGGGCCCAGCAGACACTGTCCAAAAGATGACCTCCTAATAATGAAATTATTTCCATATGTTTGCTCACACACAGCCTTCTAATTTGAGATTTCCCATCTCTCCCCAAGTCTTCAGCTTCTGACCGTGCTGCTCAGTGCTGAGAGGAGAATCACAATTGTAAACCATTAAATATTCTACAATGGAATGATTTAATATATGTAATATATGCCATGCATATTTAATATATTACATACATATATAATATATAGTATGTACATTATATGCACACTATATATTCCTATGTATTATATGATATATTATGTATATGTCACATATATGTTATATTTATGACTTATAATTTATAACCTAAATATATATTATACATTACATATATTATATGATATATATATATATATATATATATACCACCAGGGCTGGTTCTTCTCATCTGCTCTGCAACATGGCGCCCTTCCTCACACAGGAAGAGACAGGAAGGTGTGTCCATCACCATCAGGAAGGTGTGTCCACACCCAGCCTTGCCCACTGCACTCCAGGTATGCAGATTTCTAGGATTTCCCAAACAGGGACATTAGACTGCCCCCTCATGGCAGGAGGGGACCTGCATTCACACTCTTCCCTGACTTAAAAAAATAAAGCAAAACAAAAACAACGGAGTGATACTTAATATGAGAGCTTGGGTTTGATTTTAGCTTTGAGAACTCTCATTTGGGTTTGGGTTTTTGTAAACATTTAGTGTAAAGAATAAGATTGCTTACATGGAACAACCTTAATGCCCTTCAATAGATGAATGGACAAAAAAAAAAAATGTAATATATACTGAATGGAATACTACTCAGGCATGCAAAAAGATTCAGTAACTCCTTTTCAGAAAAATTGGAAGGCTCTTGAGGTAATTATGCTAAATGAAGTAAGTCAGAAAGTGATAGACAGATACCAAATGGTCCCACTCATTTGTGGGATATAAATAACCAAAGAGAACAAACCCGCAAAATAACAAGAATAATTCTTAGACTCTACAAATCATATCCTGGTTACAAAAAGGGGGTGGTAGGGGAGTGGAGAGAGGAGGGCAGGGACAAGGCTGTGGAACTGGGATTTGATGGAGGGTAAGTGAGGCACATTTATATATGGAGATATGAAGTTGTAGTCCTAAATATATATAGTTATATAAATTAATGGCAAATTAAAAAAAGTTTAAAAAAGCATAAAATTAAAAAATGGCATTTCATAGAAAATTACAGGAAATTAAAGGTCTGCATTTCTTAAAAAGAAACACAGATATCTACTGACTCTATGGAAAAACATATTTTCTAATGACAGAGTGCATACTTAATGTGAAATTTAAACATCTTATTTGAAATTTCCTCAAATGAAAGAGTATGATTAGTTTTCAATCAACACATTGATTATGTGACTAGATACATTTTAATAAAATATGATAGAATTATTTGAACATAGTGAGAAATACTATATCAAAGAGGTTGCAATTCATAACTATTTTTTATATATAAAGCATGAGGACTTCAACATGATTATTATAAAGTTTATGTATCTCCTGGCTATTTCAAGCAGAGACCTCGCCTTCAAAATCTATCTCTAACCAGTTAAAGATGATGATCTTCCCTCCCTGTTCATTGGCCTATGAAGGTTCAGGTACAAACCTAATCTGCATTTATTTTGTAAGTAAACTAATTTGGGAACACAACCATGTCCTTTTGTTTATCCATTGTCTATGACTGATTTTTCTTCTAGGCAGACATGAGCAGTGGTGACAGAAATGACAATAGCCTGAAAACCAGAAATATTCACTATCTGATCCTTTACAACAAAAGTTTGCCAACTCCTGCTTGATACTGATTCAGTAATACAAAGACATCACTTAGCTTGATTCACTTTGTATTCATCCTAAGAAAACTTACTGAGAATTTACTCTTTTAACAGTCTGTCTACAAAGACTAACAAGACACCAAAACTGACTCTAAAGATGGAAAGGTACACAGAGAGACAGCTCAAAAGATTAAATAATTACAGGGTAGCACAAGAGAGTCTAAAAAATGCAGAATTAAAATTGACACAAGAGAATTGGACAAAACAACTAACTGTACAGGAGCAGGGAAGTGATATTTGATCAGTGTCTTATGTAGGAACAGACATTCACAAGGTTGGCTGAGAATATTTAGACAGAAATGGATGCATATGCCAGGCCCAGGAAGAGTGAAACCTCATCTTATATAGAGGGAATATCAAGTGTAAGTGCTAGGGCTGTGACTCAGGAGAGAGTAACAGTAAATAAGATTCCAACATAGGCAGAATGGGTCTCTATGCAGTCTGAACACATTCATTAAAAAGTGATGAGGAATCATGAAAGCATTTTAAGAAAGGATGCAACCTGGTTGCATCTGTATAGCAGAA